TTATAGTTGCTCCACACACACACACACACACACACACACACACACACACACCTACCTCTCTGCTTACAAAGTTTACAAAGCCAGCCAAGAAAGATGACCTCTTATGTGTACCAAAAGCGAACAGAGCTTTTTTTCTGTTGAAATTGCTTTATTTTTGAATCCATAAATATTTGTTACTGACAAAAGTGGAAAAAAATCCTTAAGACTCTAATTTTTTTTTTTTTACTAAACCGGTAATAGTTTTGTTTACAGTACCTACAGAATGTGCTTTTACAGGTAAGTATAACAACAAGGATAATACAGAGAAAAACAGTCAAATACTGCTGCCTTGAAGCTTAATGCGTAACCAAGAGTCTGTGCAAAGATACAGATAACAAATGTACTTTCTTGTCAGAACTACTGAAGAATAAACATGGATTCCATAAACTGGGCTAAAGCACAAAGAGGGCTGGACATTCAACCTTCCCCTCAGGAAATAGCTATCCCCCAAATTAAGCTGGTTACAATAAGATTTGGCTTCCTTGGAGAAGAGAAACTCTTGCTAAAGGATTCCTTGTCAGCTTATGGAATGAAGGCTTGAAGAAGCGACTGCAAAGCATGTGGTTAGAGCAACAGTAAGGCGCAGTTCTACACCATTGGTGAGAACTTCCACAAATCATGAAAGGTCACAAAAGAGACACCAAATGCCATTTTCGCTAACTAATGAGATAATGGACTTTTTAGTCCCCCCCTCCCCAGATTTACATAAATATAATAATAACAGAATATGTCTGTCTCCCTTCATTCTCACAGGCCTTTGGCAGATGAAGTATAATGTTTGGAAATGATTCCACCTGCTGCCTCTACAACTCAGTGAAGACACCTCAGAGATGACGCTGAACCATCCTGTTGATTAGCAATAAACATACAACATACAGGTAGCTATTATTTGAGAACTGAGCCAATCCAGAGTTATTGCTGAGATGTTTCTGGGAGAGCATTACATTAGTTTTTGAAGTTTTAACCCTTGTGAAAAATTAACACAGGGAATTGAGATGGTTCCAGTGGAGGTCTGCTAAGGAATCTCAAGCTGGCTAACAAGTCACAGAGTTAGAACTGTTATCTTTGTTAATGTTCCTCAGCATCCAAGAGATGGTTTATTGTGTGAAATGTGCCTTCCATACAGTCAGGGTAGGCCAGGATGACTGATATCGTTAGTTGTTCTGAATAAACAATCATTGTTTGCTGAATAGGAAACCATAGGGCAGGGCTGGGGTCCTTCTTCTTCTCCAGGTATTTATGGACCAACTTCCATCAGGCCCAGCCAATGTAGCTATAAGGGTCAGGGATGATGGGAGTTGTAGCTCAGCAACACCTGAAGGCTCCAAGGTTTCCCTGCCACAGGGTATTTTAACCACACTCTTTTGCTCACAACTTCAAGGCCACTCTCATGTCACTGCATGGCACCCACCTCTGCATTGCCAAAGATGATAATGTTTGCACATTGTCACTTATACCAAGATGAACTAGAATCGGAGGGCTAATTATTCCAGGGCTTTTCTCCCTTTGCTTTCAGCTCATTTCAGCCTGTGATTAACTTTTGATTTAACATTTGACCATGGGAAGAAATGAGAATTTGAAGTGTGCTAAGGGGCTTGTATCTCAAGGCAAGAGATTCTGTAAAGACGCTGGGCGAGTTCTTTCACCACTCTTACCCCCCAGCCCTGGGGCACCTTTTTCCTTCATACTCTCTTGCCCTCCAAACAAAACCCAGAAGAAGGATTTGGCTGCTCGATAGTTGCTCTATGTAGGCTGTCAGCTGGGTGGCTCACAGGCTGCATTGTGCACGTTGTCCAGAAGTGCAGGTAAGCAAAGGCAGCATTTGCAGTTCAGCCTAACTAGGGGGAGAATGACTTCTTCCCCTTTAACCCTGCAACACTTTTGAAAACCAGGGAAGTTTAAGAAAGGAACCCTAAAACATACACACAGGGGGTGGGGAGCTGTATAGCTATATTAGCCCTGTTCAGTGAAATACAAGATTGCTTCATTTAGGAAGTGACATTTCCTGTGCATGCAATTAAGATTGTTTTCTGTTTCACGGACTTCCTTCTGTCTGTTTGTTCTGAGGATTGCACTATTTTGAGTTCATCTTGAACTCTTTCTCATTCTTCCCAGTCTTGTTATGTACTTGAACCCAACCCAGCAGAATGTAATGCGGCTTGGGCTGTGCAAGAACTGACCTACAGGGGATGCTATAATCACAGGAGGAACCAACCAAGGCAGCTGTAGGACAATCTACACTTGCAAGGTTTAGGCCAGAGAGGTGTTGCTGTTGGGTTTTGTCTTTTTGCCTTACCCCTTTCCCTGGGAAAACTTGCTGTTTGTTGCTGAATTGGAAGAAATTTTGTTCAAGTTCTGGATTAGCGTTTGTTTCGATTCAGCAGTAAACAGTAGGTTTTCCTTGGGAAAGAAACCTTTCAGACTTGTGACTTGAATTCATGGGAGAAACGAAAGTGTGGATGGGCCCTGTGTCAGGGCTTGCTGTTTGTGTACACATAAGATATTGATTTCATGTTAGCCATTCTGGAAAATTTTGTTGGAAGGTCAATGTGATAAAACGAAGGCTAAATAAAAACTAAAAATGGAAGGGCACACCTTAAAATGTGAAATTTGAAACCAGCAAATATGTTATACAGGGATACTTCGCAGGGATCTGTATTTGGCTCTGGTTCCCTGTCATGTGTGCACAAGTTGCTGAACATAGGTGAAGCAACTAAAAGGGGGGGGGGAGGCTGTTTGACTGATTTTGGGGGAAGAACTGTCCATGCAGCCAGAAGTGCCTTTGAAATCTGCACTGTAGCTGCTCACTCAGCTACACAGACAAGCTCACATTTCAATTAAAACTGGTTTGCCTTTAACTACAAATCTCTCCCGAATCCCACCTCTGGCTGCATACATAGTTTTTGAGAGCCCTGTTTTTTTGTGTAGAGCACTTGGATGTTTTTGTTTTAATAATCAAGCAGTATATAAAATTCTGTCAAGTAAACAAATAAAAAAATATTCATTCTAGTTCCCCATATGAGTAGACTTGCATGAGAGAGCTAATGGGGATGAATGTTCTAGCTTTGTCCTCTGTCGCTGTTGGGAAGGGCAAGTGTTTCTGATCTTTCCCATTTTAATATGCATATGTTTGTGTGCCATTTTCCTTAATGTACACATTTTTGCAAAGCAGTTTCACCCATACATGCCTTTTTATGCACACTCCTCCAACATATGCATTTCTGTATACATTACTTGGCTGGACAACTGTGTTGCAAAATGCAGAGAACTGAATTTCTAAGGTTGGCTATGTTTTGGTTCACATATTGTTTCAGAAAGTATGAATTAGGTTGGTTCACCTTTAATCAAATGTCTCCCTTATCATTAATCCGCGTTCTCATTGCCCTCCATAAGTTGAAGGCAAATGTCTCCACCAGTAAACTGTCCTACTCATGTACGCTCCCCATGCTATTTAGTTTTAACTTGATTGGGGAGCTTATGTGAGCTCTATCCTTCCAACCTAGGGAGCATGACAGCAACAACAGTGGTGGTAAGGCGCTGGGATACATCCCACTCCAGCCCACTGTTTCTCGTTGTGCGAGAGGTTCACAATCCAGTCCTATGGGTATGTAGCTTTGTGGGGGATTGCAGTCCAAGTTTCCTGCTGTCTGTGGCCTTTGGAACCAACCATCCATAAAGCAACCATTTATCTGAATGTTTTCTGGAAACCAGCAGGTTAAAAAAAAAACACACCTTCCAAGACTTTGTTGCTCTTATCAGAGTAGGGGAATTACTACTGAAATGACAAGGCTAAGGAGATGGCTCTGTGTTAGGCAGAAGAAATTGAACAGGTGAGATTTGATGATGGAGACCTCTGCTTAGAGGAAACATGTTCATGTGGCTTATTTTTGTATTTCCCACCAAGCTAAAAGCTCAGATATCACACCTGCATTGCAAGTCTTAGTTGTCCTGCTGCAGCACTGGATTAAGTCAGGGCTCCTTTCCTTCTCCCTGAAATCACAGAGTAGAGCTTAGGTTAAACCTAAGCAGGAACTGAGCCTTCACAATCTCAGGAGGAAGAAAACATATGGAAGAGCAAGATGGCCACTCCATAACCATTGTAAAAAAAAAAAAAAAAAAGTTCATTAGCCCACCTTCTCTTAGGGTTAAGATGTAAAATTCAGGTAACTGATAATATTTGTATTAATCCTACAGGAACACCTGCTACTACTTGGCGATACCCTGCGAAAACTTGAATGGCTGCAAAATGCTGAAATGAACATGTGGGTCCTGCTTCAATGGCAGTAAGTAGTGACTCATTTCTTGCCTAAATTCAAAGCGTGGTTCTTATTATCTTGAAAGCCCTCAATGGACTGAGCCCAGAGTACTTGAAGGAGTATCCTTTGCAGTATGATCCTACATGCTTCTGAGGTCAACTGATGAGGATTTCATGTGTAGTTTGATTCCTGGCTTTAGCTGAAGCTGATTTTGGGGAGAGTGTAGGAGAAGGAGAGGCTGAATTCTGCTCGTGTGACGGTGGGTTTTGCCCTCTTTAGTGGAAAGGCAGGGATATAAATGGGGGGGGGTACTTTACTTAGGCAATATGTAGAAAATTTGGTATTCTCAGAACTTGAAGGACACTTGGCTTATCTACACTTCTCACAAGGTTAGTGCATCAACTCCCTCTGTCTCAAGCAGCATGGGAGCAATCACTAGTTTTAATGGGCTTGATATTAGGCAGCCTTACATCCAGATGTAAGTGGCTCTGAGACTGGATGCTAGCTGAAACATCTAACTTCAGAGCACAGTTGAGACAAAGTAATCAGAACCACTTACTTCCCTCGTCCACCTATCCTATAACACCTCTCTGAATCCATCGCGCCAAACTGCAAACAGTTGTGACTCCACGGAGATCTCACTTAGGGTAATACTAGGGCTCTGCATTTTCTTCAGAGGACTTGTACAGAAGGATGTACTGGTGAGCTGTTGGGAGGCCAAGGCCTGCTTTGTATAGTATGCAGGCAGCATGGTTGCGCCACACACAAAAGGGCACTTCTGCAGCGTTTGAGGCCATGCGATTCCCATAACATTGCGGCAACTGAGTGGATTTGTGGTCACACAGCTGCAGTTTGCAGCAACAACCACAGTGCTTGCATCCTGTAGAAAGGCGGCCCAACAGGCAGGAAAGGAGACCAACAGTGCTTTGCAGATTATTATTTCAGTAGAACAGGCCAAGAAGTGGCCTGAAAATGAGCCATACAATATTGGACAACAGAACACCATTCTACTGGGAAATGTACAGAGGGCCAGATTTGTGGCGACTTTTGGGAAACAGAGTCCCCCTCAGTACTACTATATGTGCCCCTGTGCTCTCATAACTAGGCCTGTCTTGTCTACCTGTAGCATTTCATTGCTTGGGTCTGTATCCTTCCTCCTCTCCGATGCCTGCTTCACCCAGGTAACCAATGGTGCACTGGTTTACATCATGGCAAATCAGAATGACACACCTTGTATATTTGACACACCATATTCAAGATGGCACACAAGACTTTTGTTTCCAGAGAGGTTCTATAGCAGACCCTCTCATAGGTCAACAGCTTTTATTGTCCATAGGGTTGGGCACCAGAGATGTTTGAAGATGACTATGCTCAGCATAAATTATGGAGAAAACTGCCTCTCCCTTTCCCGCTACTGTGTGACCATACCTGTGTGCATTGCAGCTAGTGACAAACACTTCAGAGTGTATGCCTGTTGCTCAGGAATAGAACATAAGCAACGATGGCTCGTGACCTTTGCCTTCTTCCCTTCTCAGCCCAGTTTCTGTTAAGCAAAGTACAGTGTTTCTTATGGCTCTGATCTGTGGCCTACGAACACAACACACCAATGAAAAGCAGCTCTGCAGTTGCTTTCGGCTGGTGCTGTACACAAAACCTGATTGGTAAAAAGGGACAGGATATCACTTTTCCAATGCATGCCTCTCTGAAAAAATGCAGAGAGAAAATAAAAGCTCATGAAGGGAAATTCCTGAGGCTGCCCAGTGAAGGCCACTAATGTCAGGAACTATTGTTCAATGCACATATTTAGACTGTTTAGCTCTGTGGGATCCTATTTAATGCAGGGGCTCTACATCTCATTGTGCAGAACTGGAGCAAGACCTTGTAGCATGGGGATGCAAGTGCGCAGTGGAATGAGCCAATAGTCCATGGTTTTTACACAGGCTCAGCCACTGCATGTAGCTGTTGGAACAGAGGTCAGGACCAGGCAGGGAGATGGGGTGTACATGTCAATTAGAATTTACATCTGTTCCAAATATTCAAATTCCAACCAAAGTTGGACCTACAAATATTTCTTGGAAAGAGTTTACAGACACTCAGTGTCTAATTATCACTGTACAGTGGCTGTACAATGTGCCCAATTAGTATACAAGAGGAACAAGCACCAGCAGGATGAGATTAGGATTCAGCAAGACTGGCAGCCCAAAAATGTTATTGGGCAGGAGAGATGAAAAGAAAAAGCTTTTGAAAACTGTATCTTTCCAAGAAATCCTGTAAAATAACTAGCCTTTCTGAAGATTTCCCAGGGGTAGCTGAAAGCTGCAGGCTGGCAAGAAGCCAAGCATAGATTGAGCTGTGATCAACTTTTCATGGCATGACAATCAGGCTACAGCTATTCCACATCTCTTGCAACTTGTCTATCTTCGACTACATCCTGGATGTAAAAATGGATGCAAAATGTTGGTGCCTCTTGTTGCAGAGAGAAGCAATTCTGTCCCATTTCTTTTTAAAAAATATATTTACATGTTAGGAATTTACATACATGAGGATGGATGGAAGAAGTGGGGGGCTGCAAACACCTATCAGCAGAATTGTGCTTATAAACAAATCCACCTCACTCCTTCTACCACCCTGGAGGTTAGCAATCTTAGAGGCACTGGAATAATTCTGTTCTACAGTTACCTGTAAAACAATGTGGTTTTCCAACCGTGGCAGGCATTGTCACACAGTCTAGGAGTTGGGTAACAGTGCTTGCCACTGGAATTTGCCCAATGATCTGGAAGAACCATGCTTAGGTGGACTGGAGTTTTTACCTTCTGTCTTAGAGAATGGACCTTGGCTGGAACCGGCCTCAGTCATGACTGCAGCTGACAGTCCTGGTAAAACTAAACTTCTGTCAAGCACTAAGATCACAACCAAATCCCATTACGCCGGATTGGAAGGTTTGTCGATTTCGCCATATTACGCCAATTTTGTGTGAGATTGTTGTCAGTATGTCTTAAAGTCCTAGCCTGGCAACCCTAGAGAGTAGCTGCAGGCAAGCCCTTGAAAGGAGCCATAATCTGAATGGCTTTCCTTGACAGAAACTGGGCACGTCAGGACACCTTACCTGCATCACCTCTCCCTGTTCAGGTTTTGTTTTTTCCTCTTTATGTCAATAACATGTAGATGAATTTCCAAAACAACACAGACAGGACTGTCGGAAGAGTCTGTCTTTTCAGACATAGAGTTAGAGGTTATCTTGGCCATAAGGCCACTGCAGTGTAGGGCACTGAAGCCACCCCGGTCCATAGATGGATTATCTACAATGCACAGTGTCTCTGATCAAACAGTCACCTCTGTCTTGCTGGCTGTGCGGTAATGGTGGTGGTGCCCTGGGATATAGTGTAGCTGCTCCACTGTGTTGTGCCGCCGGGAGGCAAAGGCCTGGCGCTTGGCAGACGTTTGGTTCATACTCAAGGTGTTGTACAAGTTATTTGAGGCACTGGGATGGGAGTGCATCTTAGTCATCCGATAGCGATCCAAGACAGGCGTCGAAACAAAGACGTCTGAGTGCGACAAAGCCCGCGACATGGACTGCTCTCCGAAACCCGAGTGCTCTGGAGACAGCAGTGGGTCTTGGGAGTGGAGGCGCTCGGTGGATAGCAGCTGTTCGTCAGAGAGGATCCGCTCGTAAGACATGCTGAACTCCTCCGGCATGATCCTCTCTGGGGACAGCACTCGGTCCTGGGACATGGCCCGCATCACGCGGCGTGGCCGCTCCCTCTGAGTGGTCTGTTTCTGGGAGAGCTGGATGACGTTGAGAGGGAGGGTCCCTCTGGCCGCCAAGTCTGGGAGGTGCCTCTTTCTGGAGTAATACTCCTCAGCTTCCTTGTCAGCTGTGTGGAGGAAGGAGATGGGAAAGATAACGTTAAGGCTTTGCAAAAGTGTCAAGCAAGGGTGGAAGGCATTTTTTTTTAAAGGTATGTCAATATGGTAAATGTGCAATGCAGGAAGTAATCTAGAGTGCTGCCATCATGCGGAACATCAATGGCTACTCCACTTGTGGAATATACAATTTTGCATATGGAGGATTTTTTTACAAATCGCAGTAAAACCCCTTAGAGTGGAGTGGAGACCAGCACTTCCTCAGCAGCTCTTTCCCACATCTTTATTAATTGCCACTTCTAATAGGGATGAGGAACCTGGGGCCTTCCAGTTGCTGTTGGATCCCCTCGGGGCCAATGACCAGGGAGGTGATTGAGAGATGGCCGGAGGGGCACATGTTCCCCATCCCTGATTATAATACATTATTACAAAAACTATTTAAACTGCTAGGACAAAAAAAACTGCAGAAGACAGTTATATTCCCTGTGAAATATTTCATGTGCTCACTGGTGCTTAATTTCAACTGTATTGGTTGAATCTGTCCCCTCCCAGGTCACATTGCAGCACTAAATTATGGAAGAAATGGAAGGAGGGATGTGATGGAATTTGCTACAAGTGGACCAAACATCACACTCGCCCATAATCAACTTGTCTGAGCTCTTTGCAAAGCGGTCTTGCTTGCAGCAACTCTCTGGATTTCCCTGATACCATTTTTTTCTTTTTTATATATGACAATATTTGTTCCAATACTATTTAATCATCACGTTTGATCTGCTCACTGGGTGCTGCTGAAATGTGTTTTCACTTTAACTTCTGTTTCACTGATTCACTGTTGTTGTGACTATGTTGGCATTAACCACCATTAACATTCACTGCTTTATTGTTAACCTGTCTCTCACTTTTTGCCCCTGTGACTTAGGCAAACACACAGAGAAAGTGCAGTCATTGTCTTTCGTCATAATGTGAATCTATTATATTAATGTGAATCTGATGCATATTTTTATAATAGACAGCTATTTTTTCTGTGATGCTGTTATGCTTATTACTTTTCAATAATAACACATGCAAAAATAGAAACTGCATTTTTTGTTCTCTTTTCTGGGCTAAGTGTGGGTGGGGTTTTTGAGATGTGGTGGAGGAATCATAAACTCACAAGTGCCCCCAAATCTGTCCTGTTCTAGAACTAAGTTTTTTTTTGTTGGGGGGAAAATAAACAGCACCCCAACAAAATGCATTTACCTCCTCCACCGCTACCCATCTTGTATCAGTAAATCTTCAAAATGCATTCATTTTCCAGTTCTGAGAATGACTCTACTCATGATCATTCCTATATATACATTCAGCAAACATGAATTTCTCTGAATCATTCTGCAAAATCCGTACACATCAACTTAAGCCACTTCCCCTACAATTCCAGCAGAGTGAAAGTCAGCTTCCCATCCCCCTAATTTCTGAACATATAGCTTGCTTGCTTATGGTAAGTGCACACACCGTCCTTCATAGGTCAGTTCAGGCATCAATTACTGGGACCACATACACGCCATACATTTAAAGCACTATGAATACCACTTTAAAGAGTTTTTGCTTTCCCAGAATTCTGGGAATTGTAGTCAGTTAAGGGTGCTGATCAGTCCCTTCCCATAGCTATAATTTCCAGAGCGGTTTAACAATCAACAGGGAACTCTGGGAATTGTAGTTCTTTTCAGGGACCCTTAGACTACAGCTCCTATGATTCTTTGGAGGAACCCATGATTGTTTAAAGTGGTGGCTTTAAATGCATGGTGTGAATGGGGTATGGGTCCTCCCTTCCGTCTCCCTGGCCATCAGATCCAACAGTCATTCTGAAGCAGAACCCAGCTAAAAGTTCATCCGAGGGTGGTTTACAATATAAAAACACAAGAACACGTAACATGTAACAAACAGAAATAACAACCCCTGCTAGAGACAACTTCTTCAAAAACACATAGACATACATACATAATTTAGATTTCTGTTTTAACCTAGTCCAGTTATAGCTCACATTTGCAGCACCTCACTCTGTATCGCCCTTTACAAGGTTTCACTTACTTTGGAAAGCACAGTTAGTCCAAGGGGATCTTGCAGTGACCATCAGACTGCTAGAGTTAAAGGGATGAGCAGAAGCCTCCTGTGATGTATCTCTTGCGGGGGCTGTACCAATCAGACCACAGGTGGGATGTCAACATAAAGTAATGCAAAATTGTCACGTCGGAGCAAAGGGCTTGCCTAGAATAATCTCCTGGACATGCTAGTTATACAGCAAGTATTTTATGCATGGAATAAAACATTTAATCCCCTACCTGCAGTCTGAAATGGTATAGTCCAGTAATGGATATATCCAGTGGGACTTCTACTTGTCTGTTTTTGCTATTAAAGCTTAAAGTGTTTTCTGCTGAGCAGTATACACAACAAAGAGTTACAATGCTGTGCTCCAAATACATATGGATCAAGAAGAGTACTGGCTGGAAAAGCAACAGTGGGAGGAGGCACCTATTCTGAAGCCTTCGCATTGGATAAATGATTGAATACCCGAGAGAGCATAAACAGCGTTATCAGTGATAAGGTCAAAGCATTAATCAATAACAGACTAAGATGCTGTGAGGGATACTTGGTGGCCTCAGTGAGAAAGAGGGCTGAGCTGAAATGTAAGCCCCAACTTTGCAGTCTCATTTACAGGCTGTATAGCTGAACCTGCTATACTGGATGGAAAGAGTGGACTAAAAAAATGGGCAAAGTTCATTCATTGTGCCAGGAAAAGGGAGACAGAAGTGCACCCTTATGTTTCCAAACAATGTGGGGATTCCATGCTGTGCTACAGCTTCCCAGCCCACAGGTGGCCCCACACATTGCCTGGGCAATTGGGCAAACGTCACAACTTCCTGCGCAGTAACTTGCAAGACACAGCTGAAAAATATGGAGAGCTGCAACTATAGTGCACCTGCGGCCCTCCAGACCTAGAGGGCCACATATCCCTCCCCCCCATCCCTGGCCTATACATCCCTGGTCTTCGGACACTGAGCCAATTCATAGTGCTAGAAGCTAGGACAGTCTGCCTCTGTCATCCGGGCAACTGGGTGACAGAAGCACACCCCCTCCACCTTCCTAGTGACTCTGAGCACAGTGTAAGAAGATAGGCTGAGTTACTCCACTCAACTGCCTTGGCAATTAAACTCTTCTCCCTATAGCTGCTCTTGGTGTGCTGCAGCCTCACTTCCACTGAGAAGTCTGTGAATTGTCACAGAAGAAAAAAAGAAAACGAAGGATACATTGTGAGGGCTAGAGCAGTAGGGTATACCACACTTCATACCCTGCCCCCCATATCTGCCCAAAATTATTTAAGTGGCAATACTTTGGCTTAGGCCTCATGCCAATCTAATGTCCCTAATGCAGTGAGACAAATCAATTGCTACTGTTTGGACCAGGGTATTTAGTTCACAATTTTGGATGCAGCGACCTGCCCCAGAATACACAGGAAGAGCTAAAAATAGCAGGGATCTATTCGGGGAAGGGGCGTGTCAAGGGCTAAACTGCACTGTTCTTATTCTTGAATTAAAAAAAAATGAATGGAAAGCTGGGTGGGCTTTAACAGGGAGGGACACTAAACATATGCTTGGTCAATACGAAACAGCCTAGAAAAGAGGCTGCTGGGGTGATATCTGTGCAGATTATCCTTGACCCTGGTGTGAAAGAGCAAGCTCACTTCAGAAGGAAAGGACAATGAAATAAGGATCACCTGGCCAAAGATTCTGACAGCAAGAGGGGAGGACTTGGGGGGGTGGCTTTCAGCCTAACCATGCACAGTGAGTAGCAAAAGAATGAAATGAGCAGACACCTACTTAATCTCTTCAGGGAAGAATATTTACTTGGGTTAGTCTTGATTGCAGACTCGTAGGATGGTGGGAGGTGGGAGAGGTTCTGGAAAGACCTGGAGAAGGACAGATCATAGGGCTCAGTGGCAGAGGTGAGGATGCTGTTCATCCGTGGCTTTTCTGCAACACAGGGAGAAAGAAGACTTCCATCGAAACAGAGCCATAAGAACAACGAAAGAGCGCTCGGCGTGCAGTAAGTTCGGGCACACCCATCACATCACCCAGTCTTGCACTGAGAAGTAATTCAAACTGACACCAGCCAAGCTGCAAACAAGGAACCCAGGGCTTTGCTTCTTCAGTGTCCATTGCAATTATTAATGAAGGCAGAGTGTGCTGATACAGAATGCTTGCTCCTTCACCCAACTGATGCTAAGAAGACAGGCATCTCGTTATGTAACTGTAAATGTAGGTGAACAAGCCACGGGCTGCTCATTTCTCTATTCCGTTGGCTCCATTGCAAACACAGACATGAACAAACGCATTTGTCTGCTGAGTCCAACTAGTGGGCCAGCTGCTTTTCTGCTTTCTTCTTGCCTGGGCCTTGATCTTGCCCAACGCTTTTTGGCCTGTGGGTACATTTGCAAACCGGAGAAACGACACACGCGCCAAGCACACACTACAACCCGTTCTATTGACCACAACAGAATGCTCCTTTCAAGCCTAGTTTCAGTGGGGTGGAGGAAAAAGATATTGCTGGCATCTGTGCACTTCTGGGCACCAGTTTCACAACCCCTGCTCTCTAATCTACGGAAAATGCACTGAGTGCAGCTCAGACCCATGTTTCATTAACTGCTTGACCGGAGCAGAGAGAAATTCCACCTCCCTCCATCAACACCCACTCCCCATGGCTCCTTTCCAATGATCACCTCCATCTCATCTTGGAGCCTGTGCCATTGGAAACATAGAGGCAAACCAACCAGATTGCAGAAAATTTTAAAATTCACACTACAGCAATAAACACTCAAGGTAGAGCAATAATGCGTAACTGAAGCTTTTTGTTCCAATTCTTTTATATACTCTAGCATATATACTCTAGCAAACTGGCAGACCAGTTTGAAGGGCATATTGAAGGTCCTCCTTCCAGTTGCCAATCACCCTCTTGTGGAGATTGCTGGTTCTACCCCTATCCCAAAAGAGCCTTTACCCTTCACTTTCCCTCTCCCAACTCCTAGCCTCACTGTATCCCCATTTCGGGGAACTGGCACCAGCCATACCTGCCTTCCCTCCTTTTTAATGCTTGGTTAGACAAATGGTCCTTCATTACTCATTTTTGAAAATTCATTATTAAAATATTATTGCTCTTAATTACAGTGATAATGACCATGATTATATCCAAAGGGAGCCCTTAGGTGCTTTCAGTATAAACGTGGTGTAATTTTTCTATTAACGTGCCCTGTAATTTGTCATCTCACCATCAGAGTTATTTTTAAATACGAATGACTACAGCTCTGCTTGGGTTGCTGGAGAAAAACCATGGCCACACATCAACACAGAGTGCAGTCATGGCCATATGTGTTGGAGAATGGCCTTTGCCTGCAGACGCAGCATATGGTGGGATTAGGGGATGACCCCACACTTCTGAGAAAGTTACCCGTAGTATTTTGCAGCCTTCTCCAAACTGGTGCCCTCCAAGTATTTTGAACCACAAATTCCACTATCCTTCACCATTGCCAATGCTGACTGAGACTGCTGATGGGAGTTGTAGTTCTGTATCTGGAGAATATCAGATTGGGTCTTTTGCATCAACCATGTCTCCTCTTCTATGCCTATAGGATGAACACCTCCCAGGTGTAGCAGCAGATCCCATGTTTGAAAGTTTCAAGTTCTAGCCTCAGCATCTTGTGCGTCTGAAGCCATGCCAAGATTCCAATATATACAAAGAGAACACCTGCTTAGCAATGGTTGCTTTGTATCAACAATCTTCTGGGGCAGCCATAGCTCAGTGGCAGAGCACATGCTTTGCATGTAGAATGTCCAAGATTCTACCTCTAGTACCTCCAAGTCCACTGAGAAAGACCTCTCTCTCAGACCTAGCCAAGAATAGATACTATACTGGGCTAGGTGAGTCAATTGCCTGATTCTGTATAAGGCTACTGCAACTGAGAATCACGGAACCCATAGAGATCAAAATGAACTGTGAGGCAGTTGGAGTCATGCTGTGACCAATTCACCACCACACTGCTGTCTATCATATGGTTGGATAGGAAAAAAACTACAGTGGCTTGTGCTGATGTAACTGAAGAGTGCTTCTTGAGTTACATTGCCACACATCCTGCCCCGAGTCTCCTCTGGCTCACAGGATTTGGACAGGGGCTACTGAGTTGCTGATCAAAAGCACAAGCTGTCAACAGGAGGACCTGAGGCTGAGGTTTTGGTGGTTGGATTCCAGCCGCAAAAGGTTCGGCTCACTGCAAACACACACCCAATACAGTATAGAAAGAATAAGAGAAAAAGAAAAAATGTTCCTGCAACCCTTTCAAGACCTTAACAGTGCTCATCACCCACAAGATTTCAACACACAATTGCTGGGTCAGCTGCTTCATATTGAGGCATGTGTGTGTGTGGGGGGGGGTGTCTTAATTCAGACAACTAACAGACCATTAGCCCCCCTCCATCACTGCACAGTGTAGTACAAATCTAGAGCTGATCATCTCACATCTTGTGGAAGCAGAGAGTGCAGGGAGAAAGAAAACCTATCTATCACATTGATTTATATCCCACTCTTTCCCCAATGAACTCGCAGCAGTGTACATATTCTTCCCTCAGTGATCAGGTTGAGGTAGTGACTGGGTCAAGGTCACCCAGCCAGGCTCATGGCTAAAGTCCAGATTTAAACCTGGGTCTCTCCATAATAATATTAGAAGAGCCCCTCTGGAGTCTGCTAAAGACCCATCTAATTCACAAACTTTGTTCCCACAGTAGCCAACCAGATGCCCATGGGAAGCCCACAATCAAGAAATGAGCACAATAGCACTCTCCTCTTCCAGATCCCCAGTATCTAGGATTCAGAGACATACTGTCTCTCATAATGGGTGTAGCACATAGCCATCGTGACTCATAGCCATTTGTCCCCGTCCCCCCCTTAGAGTTTAGACCATTGCACCACAATGACCTTGTGATCTAGAGTCAGGCAACCTTTGATGCAAGGGTGCCAGCACAACACAGAATTGGGGAGGAGCTCCATAGGCCCTGCCACCTAATCTGGGCAGGCTGCAGAGTTTGTTTGGTATTGAAATCACATCCCTTTGCTGCAAATCAGATCAAATGACTGAAGCCGGAGTTTAAAATTGTCTTTCATCAGCCCAAGCTAGAGGAGAAAGGCCTGTCAAATTATAACATTTCTATATCACACCCAGGTGCTCAGGTATTAAAATAGGCAGAGATAAGAACATTAAAAATAGCGGCAGCAACTACTGTGAGAAAATCCCCAGATGACGGGGAAACAAAAAAAAAAGGACATGGAGGGCGACTTCAGGCTGGTACCTATTTCAGCACCGTTCCTGGAAGCCCTGTCTGACTGTGGGTTTCTGAGGGATAATTCAAACAACCAAATTGGCACAACAAGAGAGTAGTTGAGCTTCCCTTGGAAATTGGTGGGCCGCTCTTACAATCCGATTTAGCAATTCTCTGAATGCTTTATTACACATGCAGCTCATGACTCTAACCCATGTTTGTTGTTGCCAAGAGTGGGTGGATGGATACTACAACCACCGTGGGGTGCGTGTGATTGGAGTATTCAGCAAAGACATCGCCTACTTCCTTCGCCACATGCTCAGCTCAGCCTGGATCCAGTGACTTCTGGACCCATATTTTTCCGCTTGCCAAGTGATAATGGGAACTGGCCCTCAACTAACAGCTGACAGTACATTTTCAAATATTTTCAGCAAGACTTCCAAACTTATTCTTGCAGACACTGCTCAGACATGTTTGCAAATAGAATTGGCATAAATGTATACCCTGGGGATGTGGCGTGGGCAGAGCTCCTATCCTGAATCCTTAATGCTAAAACGCAGAATCTGAAGTTAGGCAAGGATACCAGGCACACTGCAGATTTTTCAGTCTTGACTCATTCCATCGAGGGTTAAGGATGATGCTTGTCATTTATGCAGCCTCAACTCTCTTGTTTTTTAAAATCTAGCAAATTTGAAGAAACTGCCCGCAGGCACTATCTGCTGCTAACATATGGAGCATTTCTTTGGGTTTGGTGTGTGATAGCAATTCAATTGTATCATTACCCTGTATAAATCCCAGTGGCTGATCTCAGATAAGAACCTACTAATGAAGTGCCTCGGAGGGGACGCGGGTGGCGCTGTGGGTAAAACCTCAGTGCCTAGGACTTGCCGATCGCATGGTCAGCGGTTTGAATCCCCGCGGCGGGGTGAGCTCCCGTCGTTCGGTCCCAGCTCCTGCCCACCTAGCAGTTCGAAAGCACCCTTAAGTGCAAGTAGATAAATAGGTACCGCTTTATAGCGGGATGGTAAACGGCGTTTCCCTGTGCTGCGCTGGTGCTGGCTCGCCAGAGCAGCTTTGTCACGCTGGCCACGTGATCCGGAAGTGTCTCCGGACAGCGCTGGCCCCCGGCCTCTTAAGTGACATGGGCGCACAACCCTAGAGTCGGACACGACTGGCCCGTACGGGCAGGGGTACCTTTACCTTTACTGAAGTGCCTTGGACAAAGGGAGCATGTGAGAGGCTCAGAGATGCATGCAGGCAGCCAAACAAACATACATTTCAAATGAAAGCTGCTTCCTTGCGAAGTTATGATCCTTTCCCAACATCAAGAGATTTCCGGTCCTGTTTAAAAATTTGTCCTGGAAACCCATGTGTATGTGTTTCAGAATTTCATGGCGTTCTCTCTGCTTGGTCATGAGTATGTCACCTGTCTATTGGCAGCAGGTTTTTTACACACACACACACACACACACACACACGAATAGCTTTAGCACTTTTGAGCAATGTCAGAGTGGAACTGGTTTTGCTTGCTGGATCTTCTGGCTCATCTCTGCAGCACGTTCCATTAGTAACAGTGTGCCAGACTCCTTGCTCTGAGAGTCCCTGCCTGCCACATCATACGATCCAGTAACCAATCCTCTCCTGCTCCTCCTTCCTGCCCAACTACATTCTGCAGGCACAAACAGAAAAATTGAGTTTAATACAACTGAGCACATCAAGGCCACCCAGAATGTTGTACAGCAAGAAACACAGCAAGTACCCAACTTGTGGTGACCAGATCTTCCTGCCCTCTTGGCTCTCTGGAAGGGAGAAAGGGTCAAAGAAATGTACATGTGCCCAGAAGAAGTCACACAGCAGCCCCATTTCCCTGCTCAGTACATTTTGCTGCCTGAAGTGGATCCAAAATGATGGCTTCCGGTGATTGCAGCAGAGCCCAAATGCACCTCTGCCCCACTAGGTCCAAGACTTTTAAAGGTCTTGCTTCAGACTCCTTTCCTGACTTCTTCTATTTTCAACTCCTCTCCTAGTGCTACTTAAAGCACATAGGTTCAGCCTACTGCATAGCTGGCCCAGCCTTGATATAGCAAATGTTTTCTCCCCATGATCAATTTTCTCTTCTGAATACTTAGCCTGCATCTAATAGACTGGCTCCACGATTAGGCAACACCTTCTACTTACCAGGCAGCAGGAACCATTGATTCAAAATTACACTGTAAACAGAGACTTCATCAGCATGGGCACATTGTCTCTGCTCCAGTGCACCGGAAAGGAATTACAGTCACATCTCACAAAGATAAGTGATCTGCAATGGGATTATTGATAATTCGAAACAGTAGTTCCTTTCAAGCTTATATGTCAATGTTGTCATTTAAAAGCACAGCAGAGACAGCAAGAGGAGAGAGGAATTTGGCTAGAGGCTTCTAAATCAAAATATGAAACCAGAAGAGCTGCAATTGATGGGGACATCCCTTAGATCTGAAAAGAAAAAGGGGCAAGCCGCAAGATGCGTGGCCACCATTTGATGAGTGTAGTATCAAGGGATGATCTGCATGCGCAGATGAGCTATCACAGAGGGTTAGGAGCTGTATGCAGAAGGCCCCACGTTCAAATCTTTCTACATTCAGTTCAGATCACTGCCAGTGCCAGTGCCAGTACAAGACATGTTGCTGCCTGTGGGTGATGGACCATCCTCCTCCTCCTCCTTTCTCCAGCATACAGTTGCAGCAATGCAGCAGTGGCACAGTCACGCTCCAGGCAGCTGTGCCAACAATGCCTTGCAAATTGGTTGGTTGGGTAGAAGCAGCAGTGGCTGTACCAATGGGCTGGTGACAACAATGGCTAGATGGCCAGTGACAGCAAATAGATAGGGAAGCAAGATCAACTACCCCAGAATAAACAGAATGTTCATTATCATCTCCTATACAGTGCTTTATGGTGGTGTCAGCACACACATTCTTCTGTGCACCATCAAGCACTAAGTGATTAAGTAATTTGCGTGCAAGTGTGTACCTTTGCAAACCTTGAGGAGAGTGGCTGAAATATACAAGCATATTCCAGGTTTGGGGCCAAAGCTCTCGCCAAAGAGGTTTGAGGTCCATCTTAAGCCAGTGTTCATTTGTAGCTTCATTAATGTATAATCCTGAGCTTTTGGTCACAAAACTTTGGCATCGGTTTGGAGGGCGTCCAAAATTTCAGGGTTATGCGTTAATGAAGTTGGGCTGTGGAAGCAAACACTTGTTACTGCTGAAGTGCTGGTGATTGTGACAAATAAGTTCACCATCAGAGCTCATCATGGATTTGCAACGTGTGTAGAGCTCTGTGGGACGCAGGGCATACCTGGCTGAATGCAGAGATTTTGCATTTCAAGAGTGAGCAAGGCAATTAATTGCCTCCTTAGCGTGAAGCATGTGAAATTAAGCACCCCACATTTATCTAACAGGCATGCATGAAATCAGAACAGCTTCTCGCCATCTGTTTTGCCATGTAGTCAATCAGAAGCATGGATGGACGGGGGCTGCAAATGAGAGGTTACCTTGAAGTCTATTTCCAATATTTAGCAGCATCAGAGAAGAAACTGAAATGGCTTGGGAAGCTACCATATGCATAATGTAGCTGAGAGTCAAGGTCAGTGCCTTGATAGGTTTTTGTGTTGGAAGAGACAGTACATGCATTTTATTATAAAGCTGCTGGGTAAACGGCGAGCTTTCTTCTCACTTGAAGATGTGTTCAAATGCCTGTTTTTCAGGATAAGCCACATTCGTTCTTGCTGCCTTAAATTTATGTTCCTTCTCTCCCTCACATTCAAACAGCATACTTGCAAGAGGTTTCCCTCACTTATCTTAAAACACACACACATGCAAATAAAAATTGCTGATGTAATTCTAATTACACAGCACCACCAGCATTGTTTGATAATGTAAGAAAAACCTACAGGTACAGCAGAGATTAATATGAATAATTTATCTAGCACTTATTTTTTATTGTTAAATTCATTTAAAATAATTATTGAACTTTCCTTTTCAGTACAGTACTAAAACAGATAATACCATTTGAAAAACAAATTAAAATAAGCCATGGCCTTTAGTGGTTGAGCATGACTGTAGGAAATGGTACTGTGACCTGACTCTGAAATATCACGTCGGGTTATTATTGTTGTATGCTTTATGCTGGACTTTAATAGCGCTTTGAAGGAAATGGATATTATAAATGGTTTCCATATTATATTTCAATTGCGTATTGGTTGCTAAATAGTTTGCAAACTGCTTTAGGAGGCATTTATTTGCCTGAAGAGCCATGTGTAAGTCCACAAAAGAAACAGGCATGCCTTAATCAACCCAGTCAAAATGTTGAGATGGAGTCCTTAATGCAAGTCTTTACATTACAATACCAAGCTCACTATTTACAGTCTTTATTTCGTGGGATACGAAGATTACTTTGGATCAGGGCATCCACTAACAGTTCTATTATCCCTCCTTTTTACCTTCCCCATATTTATTTTAGTTCCTTCTTTCAAGGCATTCAGAGCAGTATTTTAACTTCACAACAACCCTGTGAGGTAGTTCTGGCTGAGATACTGAATTGCACAAATCTGCTTAGGGAGCTTTGTAGCCCAAACAAGAATTTCTTTCTCATAGAGAAAAGCTTGTTCTCCTTGTATTCTGTATTCTTAGACCCTGGCATAATTCACACCAGCCCTAAGAGGATTCCCATTAAGAGACACAGTGGGGAGGAATACAATGAACCACTATTCTGCATTCATGTAACTGGGCGCAACACCCAATGCAGAGGACTTGGAGACAGATGCCATAGCTAGCCTTTCAGAGCTATAGCCTGGAGGAGTCACATTTTCCTCTTGGCATAACCTTTTTCTCTTTTAAAGCTTGCGCTAACAGGAGGATCAGAAGAGTGTGATGCTGAACTCCTCCTCATGTTCACACAACAGGAGAGGGGCAGCACACAAGGCCTCACATCATTACTGCAAAAGCATTTGCAGGTGGCGTACCAGGCTAGGGATTACAATCCCTCTGGAAATTCAGCTCTAAAGCTCTAGTAGGAATTGAAATGAACCGAGTTCGATTTGCTACAGTGAAGATTAGCCGGTGTCCTCTGCAACACAATTCTAAGCACTCTCTGTCTTTTCAGAGTGGCTCTATGTTTTATGCAGCAAAACCAGCTGCTGAATGCACACTGATGTTGCCTGCAGCAAACACTTAAACAACAAATGTGCATCTTAGTTTGGGCACGTACCCATTCACACATGTCTGGGACCCCTGACTGGGCTAGGATTCCCAGGTGCATGCACATTTCTAGGCTGCTTTCTGTGGTATTTAGCTCTCAGTTGCACTGAAAGTACAGAAAAGGAAGACACACAGTAATGCAAACTCAGAAGGGCAATGCGCTTCAGGAGTCAACACCTTCACCCATCAGCAGGTTCAAGCAGAGGTTTCCCTTTGCAACAACTGACCAGGGCAATAGCTCATTGTTTCTACAGTTCAAACTATAGCCTTGCAGGAATGGAGAAAAAGGACCTGCCCCTGTATTTCTGGCCATGTGCATGTTGGGAGAAGTGTTGCATCGCCCAGTGGTCTGCACTGCACCTGTCAAGCCCAGGAACTTGGCTAAGGGTTAGAGGTGCTATGACAGGCATAGGCAAACTCGGCCCTTCAGATGTTTTGGGACTACAACTCCTATCCTCCCTAGCTAACAGGACCAGTGGTCAGGGATGATTGGCGTTGTAGTCACAAAACATCTGCAGGACTGAGTTTGCCTATGCCTGCCTGTGCTATGGGAAAGCTGCGGCCTTCCAGCTGTTGTTGGACTTCAACTTCCATCAGCATAGCCAAAAATGAGGGTTGCTGGGATTTGTAGTCCAGCAGCATGTGGAAGGCCACACCTTCCCCATCCCTAGGTTAGATGAAAGGGACTCATGATGGAACAGCTAGTTGGTGAGCAGATTCCCTTGGAGGTCGAACAGACTCCCGGAACAGATTAAGTTTGACAACCAAGGTACCACTGTATATGAAAAAGTGGTTAGTGATGAGATCCAGTTCAGACAGTTTCAAGATGTTGGGGAAGTTTTCCCCAATACACGCCACCCCAATCTATGCTGAGCAGTGCACAAAACTTCAAAAATTCCAGGCGCTCACCCAGGAGTTGGAAAATTAGGCACAATGGAGGCTATAGTGTCATTATGACACATGGCTTTATACACAAACTGGAGCCTACAATGGAGGAAGTTCACAGCACAGCACCCCAAAATATGCTAGCTTACTCCATAGTGACAGCATCAACATCCTTTCTCCGCAGCCTCTCGTGCTCTGCAGGGCACATCTCAGCTCAACTGCTCCTCTCTGCTTCCTGGTTACATAACTCCCCACACCTTCCTTTATTACACACAGCCCAACAAGACATCAATGAGAACCCACTGACAGCACACAAATCAATGTGGATAACTTGACCCAACAACCCCTCCCCCTCACACATGCAAACAAAACTCACTGCAGCCAACTGAAGGCAACTAACCATGCCCTGGGCCCCCAATCTCTCTCACTGCCAAGGAAAACTAATAAATGAATAGAAAGAGAACCTACCCATGTGACACCGACACAAAAACCTTGCACAGATATTATGTAAGAGAATGAAAGTTTACTAATCCCCACCTCTTTCCCACACTCTCCCTCCCCACCTCTCTTCTCCCCCAACCTTCTACTGACTACAACATTAAAGTCTCACATCAAATATAACTGATCTGTAGAAAGGACTTTACGATCTGTAAACAGAGATGATGTATGTACTTTTGTAACCTAAAAATATTTAATAAAACCTCCTTTAAAAAAACCCTAAGCCCATTTATCTACAGAGGAAGGGAGGATTCAATTTTTTTAATTTTTTATTTGCATTCTAACACCTATTTCCTTTGATGCTTTGAACTCATATTGGTTAATCCTCCCAGGTGGTCACCTCACAAAGAAGTTTGCCTGACTTCATCAACACTCGTTGATTTGGCTAGGATTACAAAGTCCAATACACAACCCAGGAAGTGTGTCTATTTAATTAGGCTTTATATGTGCTAATAACAGAGGCTTATCAGTGGGTCTATCACACGCATTACTAGCCCAAATGGACACTTGAGTCTGGTTAGTTCCTCCAAGGAAATTAGCTTTGACACCCATAAACCTTAATTAAATTCTAGCACCTATAAATCTATAACATTACCTTTATTCTCCTTGCACACACACAAAAAGGAAACAAATGGAACGCATGTTCTTCTACAGCCCAGATCTTGCATTCTGAACAGTGTGTTAAAATTTGCATGATGAAGTGCCATTTGCCCTCAACAAACATTTATTCTGAAGGCACAGCCAATCCATTGGATTTATTTACCACATGAAAATGATGCCCAGCACGAATCACTTGGTGGTGATTCTACCATGTCAAAAAATGTAATTTAGTGGAAGGTGGCCAGTCCAATAGCACATCTTTCTCCTTGCTCTCTCCCATAATGTCCAGTAAACAAAAATGTGTGACATGACTCATCACACTTCAGGTTCCCTCACCCTCGCAGGCATTGAAATGCCAAATTTAGTATGCAGGCAGGATTACTTGATAGAAGTCTCTAATGTGAGAGTTCAGCTTCACCCGCAACTGAAGTATTATAGACACCTCTAAAGAGAAACTGCTATATAAATTTGCATGGGTTTGGTGAGGCATTTCTTTCCCTTTTGACTTTTTCAGTACCACCTGAACATTTCAGGTGGAAATGCTCTGCTTCTTTTATTCATTCACTGTAAATTAGAATCATGCAATTTTGTCATTTCCTTTCATAACTGCTTGCAGAGGCATGAGATATACTGTACACTTCCTCTGACGATACTGATTTTCAAGCATTTCTAAGCAAATGGTATCTTAAACAAAAACAGGCACATTTGTAACAAATTGCTGCAGGGCATGTTATGAAATGAGGAATCGTTTTCTTACCTTCTGGGAAGGACTTAAATTGAAATACTTCTAATACTGCAGTTAGACAGTTATTCCACTGGAACAATTACCATATGCATGGGGGGGGGGATACAAGTCTGGATACTTTTCCATATGAAAAAAAACAAAGAAAGCCAGTTCCCTGCCTTTTTCCTTAACATGCCTGGACTTATCAGCTCCCAACAACCTTCCCCTTCTCTTGGTATGGCTGTGAGGAAGAGAGTGGAAACTTGAATTTTAAAACTAACCAGTTTATTGCTATGTCCAAAGTGTCACTTCCCTTTACCTTGGGAGGCAACAGGTAACCAAAGGTATTGTATCCTCCACTCTACCTGAGAAATTCAGCATGTGAAGAGGACTGAGCTGGTGGCTCTCACCAACTGCTCTTGAGTTCCTGTAACTTTCACCATTTTGCAACTAAGCCAAGTTTTACTTGCTTGTGCAACTTTCCTGAAGCACGTGAATCTGCCCTTTGGAGAGTTTGTAAGACAAACATTTTTCAACTTACCCTGTGTGGTCTTTTCCAATGCTGGAAACAGTGAGGGGAGGGAGACTAGCTGCTGTCCATCTGGCAATGGCTTTTCCCACCTGCCTTGCCCCACCCTCCAGGCCTAGGAGTCTTCATAAGGGAGCTGTAGAAGAAGGACTGTGAGGGGAGGGACTTCCTGCTGTCCATCAGGCAATGGCTTTTCCCACCTGCCTTGCCCCACCCTCCAGGCCTAGGAGCCTTTTCCAGACCATGACTTTAGGAACACCAGAATCAGTTGGGAGAGGAGTTCAGGGATATTAAAATAATAATAATAATAATTCTATAAGTTGTGCGTCTTTGCTTCTCCATTTGTATTGTGTTATTTTATACACTGTGACTGGCTGTTGTTATTATTGATTATAGTTTAGAAATTATTGTAATTATTAAAGAGTGAATTTCTGTTTAATTTTTATTTGCTGATATTTAATATTATTCTGTATTATTCTAATGGATTGTTGAATATTACTTTATGTGATATAAGTTGCTTATTTTAAAGTTATGTTTTTATTACGACTTTTGCATTGGATTAGATTGTTAAAAGGTGTACATTTTGTTGTTTTTTCAGCTTCTAAACTGCCTTGCATATAGGAAAATAGAAAGGCGGTAAACAAATTAAAAGTGAAATGAAAATGAAACGCTGAGGCATGAAGGAAACTTTGGAAAGAAACTTTTAAAGGGGACATTTTTGAAACTCTTAGAAGGGTATGTTTTAAAGGTCTAACAGCCTATACTTCTATGATTTACTTTGCTGCATATTTTCTGACTTTAAGTATCTGCTGGGGTTCTCTCACCAAGGAGTATTTTGCCCCAAACTTGGATCTTGGCATCCAGGAATTTTCCTGTATTTTGCATCAACACAAACATGGACAAACTGTAGTTATGGCTTAACTATAGCTTATTATGGAAGCAAACTAATTTCAAACTGTAATGTCTGAAATAGACATGTTGCCCTATGCCATAGTTAAGATTAAGCACAGGTTAGGGCTTTTGACTAATTTATTTATTTATTAAACTTCTATCCCAAAGGATCCCTCGGGCAGAAAGCTACAAAACAGAAAAGCGATACAATAATACGGTATATATTTCAAAAATAAATTAGAACAATCAAATATCCTCACAACTGAAGAATTTCAACATTGCCAGGAAAAGTATAATGTAGCAATCAAATGCCTGGTAAACAGCATTTTTTTTTTTTTTTGCATTCTGTCTGAATGTTAACAATGAGGTAGAGAGATGCACCTCACCAGGGAGAACGTTCCTCTACTGAGGAGGCCCTTGTCACAAGTCAACACCAACCAAGCAGTTCCCAGTGGTGGCACCCCCAACAAGGTCTCCTATGCCCATTATAAGGCCCAGGATGGTTGATACCGAGGGAGGGGCTCCTTTCAAGATAAACTATGGAAATATGTTCTGATATCCTCCTTGCAGTCATGTAAGGTGAAGAGCGAAGGGTGGGAACATGGGATTCCAATCAACGTGTGTGCACATTACACTGAACCAACGTTGGCAGTAGCGGCTAGTGTGGTGGGGCAGAGCTGCAGATCAGTCCTCCTGACAGTGACACCACTGAAACGTACCTGAATGGTGCTGGGGCAAGTGGCAAGATGTGGGGGTAATGATATTTGCACAGCCCCAATCTCACAACCTCTCCTGTCTGCCCCAGTGCCTTCGTGTCAGGAGGAGAACACCATGGCTCTGCCACACCACACATCCATGGCGCACTACTATGTTGGCATAAATTGAAACACAGAAAAAGGCAGTGTAAGGAGTAGCTGCAAAAAGTATGTTTGCTTCTTACGGTTACTCTCATTGGAGTAACAATGCACATATCTGTTCACTCAAACACCTCCTCCTAGCAAATGTAGACAGTTTTCTTTGATATTTGTCTCTGATAAATGCTTAGGAGATCATTTGTACTCTCAACAGCTGTGCACTCTTTGTCTTAAATTAAATGTTAATTTTCACTCAAGCACACAACACCACTATGTCTGCAGTCACAAGCCTGCTGTCATGCCCCCTTTGGCCTCACGCATCTTTTGAAAGTGTGCTGCTGCTGCTTCTCTCTCAGAAGCTAAGTGCGCTGCCTCAGGTGATTGCTCCTGCTTCCATAAACACTCGCCCCTTGGCAGGCAGGATCAAACCAGGATGACCTAATTATAATTAGGGTAACAGCAGCTGCATAGAACAGATTAAATACAATCCCTTGTTAATTAACAATCATCTCTCATCAGACATTCAAACAAAATTGAGTGCAATCAAATCTCAGCAGTCAGACTTCTCTCGTCCTATGTAAAAGGTGGAGGACCTGCTTGAAGCGTTGGATTCTGAATACTGCCTAAAGACATTCTCACTGCTTGTTTCTATTTTCAGGCATAGCAAAAATGCTCTGGGAGCATGTGGTCTACTTCCTTTAGCACCAGGCCCTCCTGTGGCCATCCAGGCACTGCTAGGCCACGACTCCCATCATGTCTGACCACTGGGCATACTGGCTGCTGGAAGTTGGAGTCCAACAACAACTGGAAGGCCACAGGTTCCCCACCACTGAAATTAGCTTCCAGGCTAAGACTGGCTCACTTACCTGGGAGCTGCCAAATAAGCATGTATATATAGGCTTGTACAGTTAAGGCTTCTTCTTATGCCTGTGTGTGCACACACAAATCCTGCCAGGATCCACAGTAGCCTCATAGTTATTTGCAAAGCATTGTGGCAAAGTGTACCACGTTGCCTTTTTGAATGGAAACTGGTCTTTAGGCTAAATTATAATAGAAGTTCACCAAACATTAACTAATTAATCAGCTTGAGCAATTGGTTAAAACCCATTTAAACCAAGGGCAGCATAATTAAATATAAACTTTTTCATATTGGTCCTTATAAAATCCAGTGCTCAGCAAACCGTTTTGGGATGACAACCCATCTTATGTGCAGACACAGAGAATGACTTAAGTGATTCTTTGGAAGGAGATGATTGACATTGTATCTGGACCTCTTTTGCAACCTTATCAATCAAACACACAAATAAAGAAAGCACAGTGCAAAGTTCTCAGTAGGTGGTATATTACCCCTGCAAAGCTTCACCTAATATACCCAAATTATAGTTAGTATTGTTGGATGGGGTGTGGAGAGATTGGTCCACACTTTCACCTTCCGTGGGATAATGTTCAACAGTGCAAGAGTTCTGGAACACGGTTGCTGATTACTGCTAGGAATTTCTTCATGTTAGACTGCAGGGCTAAAGATAGGCTTCTCCATCATTTTGAACCTAGTAAGACTGCATTTCTGTATGAAGATCTTCTTAAGCAGTTGAGTACAGCAGTAAAGGTGAAGAAGGTATGTAAGCAGAAGTCTTTCAAGCAACCTTCTAAACAGCAGAGGGTTTGTAAAATCTGGGAGACCATGATGTTCTAACGGAGTGGTTCCCAATTAACTAACTACTGAGAACCCTGTATTTTTCAAAAGCCAAGCCACGGACCCCCTGTTTTTTGAAAATGCTGATAACTCTGTGGTAGTTACCTGCGCAAAGCAATTTTTTGAAGAAAATTTGGGGTCCCCTAAGAAGCAAAGGATTTGTGGTATACTAAAAACCAGACCATAAAATTTGTGATATTACTACAAATTGCTTATCCCCAGACAGTAGGGAAAACTTGTCTCCATTGCTCCACTACAACTGAATAATAATAATAATAAAAAGCAATTGTTGGACTTCCAAGATGAGACATGAATCCCAAACTTCTAAGGCAAGATTCACTGAAAACCCTACCTACAAGCAGTGGGAGAGTCCTCTAAATGTGATACTTCTTGAAAACAATTAGTTCTTTTCAGTTAAAAAGTAGAGAGCAAAGGGAAGGGATCCCTTACATTTTTAAACATTATAAACACGTGAATCCACCCCATGGTGCAAACCATTCTCTCTCTCTCTCTCTCTCTCTCTCTCTCTCTCTCTCTCTCTCCCCCTTCCAATCGCAAGAACCCCAAGAAACTGTATCAGGTTTTAGCCTGATCCCAGCTCATTTGCCATCCAGCAACTCTTTCACAAGTTTTTCCCCTGCCAGCAAGCAGGCCCTGGTCTCAAGCAGAGGCTGGGTGATCCATGTATCATCATTGTGGCTTTCACTGTGCAATTAACAAGATAAGTGGGTCACTGGCAGGGGATGGTGCCACGGACCGCTGGGGTGTGTTCCGCGAACCCCCAGGGGTCCCCGGACCCCTAATTGGGAACCACTGCTCTAACAGATTTACAAAGTTATATGTGTTGGAAGCTGCCCAGAGTGGCTGCGGAAACCCAGCCAGATGGATAAGGTCTTCTTCTTCTTCTTCTTCTTCTTCTTCTTCTTCTTCTTCTTCTTCTTCTTCTCCTCCTCCTCCTCCTCCTCCTCCTCCTCCTCCTCCTAACTCCAGGAGTCTGTCATAATTTAGGTTGGTGTACATTATTCTGTTCCAGAGCCTCAGGTTGGGGCTACCGATGGCTGAGCTGGAAGATGGGATGCTATGGTAATATGATTTCCATTTATCTCCTCTGTAGAAGCTCTTCAAGCTTCTGATCAAATTCCCATATAATACAGATGCATATACATCTAGTATCTCCATTATGTAGTTTCATCATATGCTGAAGACACACCTCTTTATTGTGGCTTTTAAAATTTGACATGCATATTTTTAGCAGCAATCCTATTTTTGATTGGAACTTACTTTAAACAACTTTTAATGTATTTAAAGGTGGAGGGTGGGTAATAAACAACAGCAACAAAATTTATTAAGAAATCATTGATTTCTAGATGAGGCCAATATAATTTTTCTGTATTGTCTGTTTCTGGATAGTGTTTAACATTATTTTCTTTGACCATTACAGTGTGTGGATCTGACCTTAGTGAACTATCCAAAGCGGTGCTCCAAATGGTTTTCCTGAAATGGCATGGTATTATGCTGTGCATTTCCTAGGGCTTGCCGATCAGAAGGTCGGTGGTTCGAATCCCCGTGACGGGGTGAGCTCCTGTTGCTCGGTCCTAGCTCCTGCCAACCTAGCAGTTCAAAAGCACTTCAAAGTGAAAGTAGATAAATAGGTACTGCTCCAGCAGGAAGGTAAACAGTTTTTCCATGTGTTGCTCTGGTTTGCCAGAAGCAGCTTAAGTCAT